AAAAAAAGAAACCTGCATTTTTTTTTTTCCCCGATATGTTACAGAAAAAAAAAAAAAAACATGCTCTATGTCTGTCCGGTAAGTTATATATTGCAGAATTCAGCTACTACAAAAGTTATAGTTTAAGTGTGTTTCATGATTTCTCAAGAAGTCTCACACCTGTATGGGAAAATCCGATGAGGATACTGTAAAACAGTTAGGCTCCATATGGAAAGTGTGTTACAACAGCGAGTTGGTAAGCAGCAGCAGAGGCTAGTTCTACTCAGTGTCACCTAACGCTTACACTACCAATGAAACACTTCAAAAGTTATGAAGCCCAACCATTTCCAGCACCATATGAGAAATTACAACAGTCCTAAAGTTGTCTAAAAAAAACAAAAAAAAAAATTAAAAAAAAAAAAGAAAAATTAAAATCAAATCTCGAGAGAAAGTTACGGCCTTTGCCATTCAACCATAACGTTTGCCATTTCCATGTACGAGTTTGCTGTCGGTGTCTGCTCGCCTCCCCTTCCGCCGATGTGAAGTCGCTGCGCTGCGTTGCTGCTGCTTCCGTGTTACAGAGGTGGGAAGGGGTCTGGTGGTCTGTCCGGTGCGTGGTGGGAAGCGGAGACTTTTATCCCAGGTACCAGGACTGCAAAAAGAGAAAGGAGAGGCATCAGCCCCGGCCGCTCGCTCTCGCCGCTTCCCCAAGGGCTCCGGGCACGGCCGCCAGCCTCCTCCGCCAAGAGGGGGGCTAATTGAGACCGTGACGAATTGACCTAATTACAAAGCTTAATTAAAAATACTGTACAAATCAATATATTTTTTTTTCCTCGCCGACAGTCGCTGGACATAGCTACAGATGAACGCGGGGGTCATGTCACGTTACAAGTTATCAATCTTTTTAATAGATGATGGCTTGAAGATCCCTCCAGTTCACTTTTGTCTAATCCCCTGAAAAGGCGATACACATTCGCCTCTCTGTGCCATTTATCACCCTGCAGTCGGGGTTTTCTTGGGTATTTAGGCATGTGCCAGCATAAGCATCTGTTGCTTTATACTGCCCTGCTTCAACTGTCTCGCTGGAACAGATGCACAGAAATTCAACAACAGGGCTGTTTTCTTAGGAGAAATGTGGATCGCTACAGAAAAGCCAGGATAAAGCAAATCTGGGGAAAGTGGATCAGTGAAAATGTCCCGTACCTCTCCCCATACTTGTGTTTCAAAACAAAACATGGGCCTCAACTAATAGCTTTTCTTTGGGAAAATATTTTTTTTCCCCTTTTTCTTCTTTTTCCCATAGGGAGGGAATTCCCAGGGAATTCAGCCCCGCAACAATACCGTCCTTAACCCAACGGCGCAGATGCCCGGAGCACAGAGAGCAATTTCGCTCCTCCATAGGAAAATAAACACAGTTGGGAAGCTGGAGTGGGCTCTGCTGGAGCCGGGGCAGTGCCACCCCACGGGGAGAGCCCATGCCGGCCCCGGCAGGGTCAGCCCAACCTGAACCCGCCATGAATGAGAGCAGTGTTAGGCCCTGGGACCGTGCGCGCGGGGGGATGCTCCTTGGCAGTGACATATTGCTGTGGGAATACACCAACAAGCAGCAACTATTTAGCCTGGAGTAAAGTAATACAACAAGAAAGACTCAGGTATTAAAGAGCCGTTGCTGATACCCCCCGTTTTTTTGCCGGGGCTCCTGTAATATATGAGGTGCGTCCTTGCGCGCACACGGACCGATGACAAGTTTTACCAAGTTTTTCCTCCGCTCCTTTTCGGCCTCTGATGTGATTGATAGCACAATCAGCTCAGGGAGGACTTATGAACATTTACAGAAGACTCTGAGGCAAGTTTCATGTGGGACCTGGCGATTATGTGGTCTTGCCATGGAGGTAGGAACTGGTAAAATAAATAGCAGGATTGGAGAAGTTGTCCTGCTTCCAATACACCTCATTAACTAACTCTTCCTCCGCTCGCCCTTCTGAATACAAACACACCGGTCCCATATCGGCCCCATCTATTGCCTACAGATTTTATATTTAGACTTACTCAGGCTGCAATTAAATGAAATAGTTCTCATATGTAAAGTTTATAAACAGAGGAAAGTTCTGGCAGGGTTCGTGAAGCGGAGCCAAGTCCCGTTCTCCTCCCTGACTGCGGGGCCCTACTGATTTTTAGGTGGGTGCAGGCATGTGGAGTGTGGGCTGTGCTGCGCTGGAGACATCTCCAACCACCGCCAGCACTGCCGACCATTGCCAGCTCCCAACTTTTCCAAACTTTTCAGGGTTATTCCTCATGCTTTTTGTTTGAGTGTGACAGTTTCTGGCCAGACTGGGAACTGTGGCACTGCCCAGTGGGGAGGAGTGGGGGTAAAGTCCAAGAAGGGAGAGAGTAGAGGGGTTAAAACTGCAAGGTAAAGGAGAAGAGGGGTTACAGACTGAGGTGATAGAGTTAAGGAGTTACAGACTGAGAGATGATGGGAGTTAGGGGGAGTTAAGACTGAGGTGATGGAGTAGACGGGGTAAAGATTGAGAGGAGATGAGGCAGACGGGTTGGACACTGAAGTGATGGAGTAGAAGGGTTGAACACTGTGAGGTGATGGAATAGAAAAGTTAAAACTGAAAGGTGATGGAGTAGAGGGGTTAAAACTTTGGATGCGATGGAGTAGAGGGGTTAAAACTGCGAGGTGACGGGGTGGAAGGGTTAAAGGCTGCGAGGCCGTGGAGTGGAGGGGTTGAACAGTTCCAGGCGATGGTTCCCATCTCCGCTGTCCGGCTGCTCCATGGC